TCCATTAGTTATCGCATTCATGTAACTTTTTACTTAGAAGATATAATATTTCATATTTCCTAATTCTATTTTTTTAAAAGTTTTGGATTCATATTAAAATATTTCATATTCCCTATATTTCTTTTTGTATAAAGTTTTGGATCCATATTTAGATACTCCATATCTCTATTTGTATAAAGTTTTGGGGTTTAGATAAAATGATTTTTAAGAGTTTGTAAATATTCATTCACAAAATTAATGATAATAAAATTCTAAACAAAAATATGTATTTACCTAAATCACTTGCTCCCTTATTCTAAACGATTTACGAATTCATCTTGATTCACATACGATTACACAAGTATGGAATAATGACTCACATGTGTTATTCCAATTTCTCCGTCTTGGGTCTTTTGACACCCTTTCAAAATTAAGCATTAAACATACACAAAACTAGAAAACAAATGATTTGGAGAAACTACACTAGCTAGTCATACTATTCACCCAAATCGGTCAGAGAACCGGATAGCCACTTGATTTCGAACGTGATAAGAGAGAAATATTTTAGCTTTGAGTTTTTGATGAATCCGAGAGAGAAATTGGAGAGTTTGAGTCGAGTAGATTTAAGGATTTTGGGTTTTCATTCTACGGTGACATTTTTTAACACAAAATTCTATGTCACAATGTTTTAGAAAAAAACTGTTATTAAAATATTTGTTGAAAGATTTTTTTTTTTTTGGGGTCAAAATATTTGTTGAAAGATAAGAAACATTTTGTGGTACTTTTTGAAAATTGAGTACAGTATATATAAATAACACTTTTCTCTACATGAAAATGCGTCAAGTATGGATCATTTTCCAATACACAACATGAAATGCGTTTTAATGACTTTTTAAAAAGAGTATTCTAATCGTGATAAAAAAAAAAAAAAGTATTCTAATACCTTGCTCAAATCTTTAATATTTGAATATACCAATCGTCTTACTAGCACACGTCCATCATTTTCATATACTTTCCTTATTCACCACATTGTATACTTTTCTGTTCGTATTAGATAAGATCGAATCTACTTAACCTATTCCAGTGTGTGAACGTACTCCTTCTAATCGTTTAGTAATGATCGACAAAACAAAAATTATTTAGTTATGTCCTCTCGGACAGTATTAATGCGCAAGTTTTAAGCATAATTGCACCATGCAATAATAGATTTTACAAA